TAATTTTAAATATATTTTATATATTAAAATATAATATTTATTTATATATTTTTTATTATAATTTTAGTTATGTATAACAAACATGTAATTTATAAGATATACATCTAAAATATTAATTATTATTATATTCAAATTAATCGAAACCACAACAGCTATTCATTTCTCATTTCACCATCTGGATTTTACTCTTTCAAAAGAAGATATTTTCTCTGCTTCGTTCCTAAATTGTTTTTTAACTTTCAAGCGGACACATAATTAAAGATAATGTTATTTGATAATTTTATATTTTAAACTTTCGCAGGTATACCTCAGTATTAATCTTTCTAATAATCTAACCCAAGTTTTATTTTATTGGCTTCACGATTCAATAAAAATTTTAAAAATATTTTAGCAAATTATGCCATATAATTTGGGTCAGTACAAATTCAGATTAGTTGATGATATAAACACTTCTTTATATTAACACAATTTTATTATATATTTTTCTAAAATATTTTTAATATATTTTTTTAATTAGTGTGTAAAAAAATTATATATGCATATAAAAAGAAAGATGCATGAAAATCTTAAAATAACATGTTTTGAAAAAAAAATTATAATTATAAAATTTTAATCTATTTTAAAATCTTAAAATATGGAGAAAGAGGTTACATATAAAAGAGATGAGTATCTAGAAGAAAAAAAATTGAATGTTAAGAGAAAAAAAAGTATGTTTGAGAGAAAAAAAAATTAACATGGGAGACAAAGAAACAGAAAGTAAATGCAGCTGAAAGAAAGATGAGTATTTAAAAAAAAATAAACTTAAAATTAAGGAGTTTCGTAAGATCGGAAAATTTAAAAATAAAAAAAATATTAAAATATGTTATTGAGAAAAAATATAATAAAGATATATTATTATTATAAGAATATGTATGACAAGTCTCTAAGATTTCGTATGTATATTTTATGTCTTTAATATCGATCTTTCCTTTAAATTGCGTCAAGATTAAAATATTTATTCTCGTTGTTTAAAACATCCTTAATTATATATAAAATATTTTGATTTAATAATTTAGTTTAAAATATATTTCAAAATTATATTTTAATATAAATATTTATTAAAAAATATTTTTTAAAGTATAATTGTATGTTTTTAAAATATTTTATTTTATGTTTAAAATTTTATATTTCAACAAATATTTATAAATGCTTAAATAAAAAATTATTACATGCATATATGTTTCACGTCATCTCTACTCATCTTTGTTTGCATTCATGTTCTTTCTTCGTCATTTTCTATTTCTGTTTTCAAAGAAAAGAAAAAATAAGTTTGAAAATATATTAAGTTTTAATTTTAGAAAATAATTTTTGTAAAAATATTTTAAAAAATAGTTGAATTTTAAAAACTTATGATTACATGAAAGATAATTTCACTCAAGTCAAATAACACTATTATATACAGTAAAACTAAATATTTATATATTTAAAATTCATATTAGGACTAATAATTAATTTTTGAACCCACACGCTTTCGGTGTTGTTTGCATTCAAGTTCCGCACATTATTAATGTATATAATATAATATAAATTCATTAAAAAAATATCTACTGATAAGTTAATTGACTGAATGAATTGTAGTACAAAAATAGCAATATAAATACTGTATGAAGGAGAAAAGTAAAACCTTATTTAAAGATATTTTACTTGTTTATTTAAATTATATTATAATGGAATGCACAAATTTTATTTTCTGTATTAAATATTTATTATCAAAAATAATAATTAATCTTTATCAAAGATCCTAAATACATACAAAATAAATATTCTATCTCTAACTTAATTTATTTCATATATAATTATTTATATTAAGAGATATAAACAATTATTACTTATGCTAGTTACTCTAAATAATGGAATACACAATAATATAATACTTTTTCTTCTAAATATGCACCAAAGCTATATAAATATAAAATTATTAAAATTGATTTAATAGTAAAATTTGAGATAATATATATATAATAAATGAAAATTCAAACATGAAATTAAAAAAAGTTAAAATTGTGTTACATTATTTTGATTTGTATGAATAAAAATGAGTTATATAAATATTAGATAAACATACATTTTGTATTTTGTTGAATTGAAATACACATTACATGTGTACGGTACAAACATACAACTATGATATGCAGGAAACTCATCTATCAAATAATTGGGTAAGAAACTATTTTGTCAAGTAGAATCAGCCATTAGGATAACATGCTTGATGCAATATTCCAAGTGTATGTTTGGTTTGAATTTATAAACGTAATTTTTCACTCTTTCTCCACGTTTTGAAACAAATTTACGTAAAAATTACAATTTTTTTTTTGCTTCTCATTGAATTTTCACGTCCAAAAACCGAAACAAACACGCACTAAATGAGTTTTAACTAATGATTTAACTTTTGTTCAGCTTTCACATATTCATACTACGCATTTATACTGGGACCAAACCCAAACCACCACGGCACGCCGCCCTCATAAAAAATAAATAAACAAGTAAAAATATGGACGATAATAATTCATATAAATGTGTTTTTGTTATAATAATATATCTTCTATTTTAGATATCATTTTTTTAAGGAAGGAAAAAAGTCCAGTCATTAAAAATCACAACACACCACGTTTTTTTAATTTTAAAAAATCTATATTGTTATAATGGATTTTCTTTATTATTACAAAATCACTCGAACCATTAAGTTGTTGCTAAAAAAAAGCCATTAAGTTGTTGCTAATAAAAAGAGTAATTACATGTTAGCATGTCGATTTTTGTTAAAAATTTTTTTTGACTTAATTACAATTTTTAATTTTAAAACCTGATTGATAATTTCTAAAAATTCTAAGGATCAAATGATGCTCTATATACCAGACTTTTTTTTCCCTTGTCCCTTATTATAAATTTATCTTCTAATTATTATTAAATGCATTAATTATATTTTATCTAAAGTATCTTTTTTAATTAACAATTTTTTTATAAAAAAATAATGTTTGAAGCTGATTAGATAAAAGATATATTGATTTTTTTAAAATATTAATTAATTCAACGAAAAATGATTAAGTGAAAAGATAAAATGTTAATTTAAGAAATGCTATAAAAAAATAATTTAAATTATTGATAAGTTTAATGTTCTTGTATGCTTAAATTGTGTAATTTAGTTTAAAAAAAATCTTATAATTAAAGATGGAAGTAGTATTAAATTTTATTTAAAGTTGTTAAAATGAGAACAGTAAATAAAAAAGAAAACATTTATAATTTTAAAAATTATTGAGAAACTGCCGTAGAATTTGTGATATAGAATCAGATTGAGAAAAGTAATCTAACAGTAGGCGATGGGAGGGAGGGATTGTTGATTAGAAACAAATTGAAATGGCAATGGGATCCCATTCCCATCCCAAGTAACAGAATGGACGGGCCAAAGGAAAGCATTTATTAGGATAGCATCTTGACATAAATAATGGCGGAACTTCTTGACTAATGACAGGTATGACAACAGTGACGTGATTATCCTGAAACCGAGTAAAACCCCGTGACAAATCAGCTTATGAGCATTAGGAATAATCAATCCCATTTCTTAGTCACTTACTTTCGCGTGCACCTCCACATGGTGGCAAACAGTGAAACTCGTTTTTTAATATTTTGGGTGAATTGCCCTCCCCATTGGAGAAAATTAGCATTTAAAGAATGAAAGGGAGGAATGTAGATAAGTGGGAAAGGCAGTGGCAAAGCGGAACAAGTAATCCTGCCTTCTTTTTCACCCAACATCCCCTTTGTGCCTCAAGAATAAAAACAAACCTAACTTTCCCTTTTCAAATCGGAGCAAAAAGTAATTTAAAAAAAAAAAGAAAAATAATTTATAAATAGGATGCGTTGAAGGAAATAACCTCGTGGCTCCCACACTTGCTGGCTTCACCTCGGCTCCCACTAACCACGTGGTGCTCGAGAAACACAGAATCGCGTACTCAAAAGGAGTCGCGTTTGACGATTCACAAATCACAACCTTCAATTCTCACTAATTGAAAACACGTAGAAAAAGCAAAACAATAGGAAGAGTGGAAGAGAGAGAGAGATTGGGAAATGGGAAATAGGAAGTAGGGAGTAAAGAGGAGTTGTCCACATTCAACCAATCCCAAGCGAGCATGTCGTCTACCTTCTTCTCACTGAGAGGTCAGAGTTCCACACACTCTCTCTCTTGCAATCGGGATCTCTCTTCTTACTCTTAGCTTTTTCACAGTACCTGCTTCTGCCTGCACTCCTCCATGTTAGGGTTTTCTTTCTCCCACGCAACTAGCCTCATGTTTCACAATTATTGATTCACTTTCCTCGATTCGATTTCGATTTGCCGCCGCCATGGAGGAACCGCCTCAACCGCAGCCCCAGCCACCGCCGCCCACCGCTGCTAGGGATTCGCGCCTGCTTGGAGTCCCCGTTGCGCAGCGCGACCCGGAAGGAGACGCTGCTTGTTGCGCGCCCAAATTGGAGGTTGCCGTCGTGGACGCTGCCGTTTTGAAACGCAAGCGCGGTCGTCCGGCCAAGGGAGCTCCGAAAGTGGCGCCTCCGGTCAGGCAGAAGAAGGACGAGGAGGACGTTTGTTTCATTTGCTTCGACGGTGGGAGTCTCGTTCTCTGCGATCGCCGGTGAGTCATCATTGTGATTGATTTCGTGTTTGTGTGATAAATTCTACCTCTGCTTGCCCTTTTAGCTTGCAATTAAGGTCTCGCTTATGCGTTGCTTTATTCAATTGGAATCGCTCTTGCCAATTTTAGTAATTATTGATTTCGAACTCTTTTCGTTTCCTTTTTTAGGGGTTGTCCTAAGGCGTATCATCCCTCATGTATTAAGCGAGACGAAGCGTTCTTCCGATCAAAGGCCAAGTGGAATTGCGGTATGTTGGGTTTGTTATATTTTGATTTATTGACATACGATTGGATTTCTAACCCTGCGATTTTTTTGGGAATATGGTTTGATTTCCTATGCACGTGTCATTTACTTGCTTGAAGCATTTGGAGTTGGACAACTATCGTAGATTACATAGAATCATATCAATATTCTCTAATGCTATTCGCCTATTATCTCGGTTAATTGAGTGTTGTGTTTATTACATTTACCAATTGGCGCACACTTCTTATTTTTGAGAAGTTAATCGTTTCTATATGTTTTGATTTTAGTATTTTAGTTTTTTTTTTATAAATTGGGTAGTTTTCGGTTATTAACCATTTTTTTGTGCGACTCAGGTTGGCATATATGTAGCGTTTGTCAGAAGGCGGCACATTATATGTGCTATACTTGCACATATTCTTTGTGCAAGGGATGCATAAAAGATGCTGATTTTGTTTGTGTCAGAGAGAATAAAGGTATGTGCGGAATATGCATGAGAACTATAATGCTGATTGAGAACAGTGCCCAGGGAAATAAGGAAATGGTATGTTAAACTTTCTTATCTATGCTGGATTACTTGTTTTGAGCTAATAATGCACGGTTGCTTGATGGTCTAATTTTTTACCTTTGTTTTCCTTGCGCTACTCTTACAGTGCGAAGTGGATTTTGATGACAAGAGCAGCTGGGAGTATCTTTTCAAGGTGTACTGGATTTATTTGAAAGGGAAGCTATCTTTAACATTTGATGAGCTCCTTCGAGCTAAAAACCAATGGAAAGGTGTTGCTCCTATGAGTTGCAAGCAAAGTCCCCATGAACTTTATCATCTTAGAGATGACAAAGGTTCTGGTTCTGAGAACTCCTGTATAGATATAGAGTCAAATAATTTGAAGAACAAGAGGCCCAGAAGACAGCCAAAGCTTCTCAGTAAGGGTGATTGCTTGGATAATTGGATAACTTCAGGTGGTGACAGTGGTGTGTCTTTGACTGATTGCACAAAATGGGCATCAAAGGAGCTTCTAGAGTTTGTTGCACATATGAAAAATGGTGATACGTCTCTCCTGTCTCAATTTGATGTTCAGAATCTCTTGCTAGAGTATGTAAAGAAAAATAATCTTTGTGATCCTCAACAGAATTCCCAAATTGTTTGCGACTCTAGACTATTAAATTTGTTTGGAAAAGCATGTGTTGGCCACATGGAAATTCCAAAGCTACTTGAATCCCACTTTCTTTTAAGACGCAATGGCCCTGCGGATAATACTTTTGGAGTAGGAATTATTAATGCTGTTGCTAATGAAGGGGAAGGCCATGACAATTACAATAAGCAGTTGATGTTAGTTAATGACAAGGGGTGTAAAAAGGATGATGTTCTAGTGCCACAAAATAATCCAGATGCATATGCTGCAATAGATGCTCACAACATTAAATTGATTTACTTGCGGCGAAGTCTGATGGAGAATCTAACTGAAGATATTGAAAAGATTCATGAGAAGATTGTTGGTGCATTTGTGCGAATAAGAATCTGTGGTGGTGATCAAAAACAAGATATGTATAGACTTGTACAAGTTGTAGGTAAATGAGCTTTCACAGCATCCAATACTTGGTAAGTTACACTTATTGTAAATTGTGCACGACTTTTGTAGCTATTTGTGCAGGTACAAGCAAGGTTGCTCAACCTTACAAAATTGGCACAAGAACAACTGATATTAAGCTTGAAATTTTAAACTTAAACCGGAAGGAGGTCATACCAATTGGTGAAATTTCTAATCAGGAGTTCTCTGAGGTGAATAGATACTATTTTAATCATATCACCTTTGGCAGAATCTCTTGAATATGTAGAAGAGTTAAGTTTCTTCTATGTAAGTTTGCTGATGGTTAATGTTTTTCTATATCCAGGATGAATGCAAGCGGTTGCGTGAGAGTATAAAATATGGGCTTTCAAAGAGATTGACTGTGGTTAGTGTGCATATCATGTCAATTTCATAAGACGTGTTGTATTTTGTGTGTTTAAGATGACTATTTTTTGTTGGCTATAGGGAGAGATTCTGGACAAAGCATTGACACTTCAAGCAATTAGAGTTAATGATGTAAGTTCCTTACCTTTTTTTTCCTCCTATAGTAATGGAAATATGATCAATGATTAATGCTTATTTTTATTGTAAGAAAAACTGAGCATAAAAAATCTAAACAGAAATTTATTAGGGTACCATATAATGTCACTTAACTACGTCCTCTAATCTAAATCATTTTGGCTGGCATAATTATTATCTACCTCTTAACAATTGCCTAGTGGATTCAATATGCAAATTTAGTAAAATGTTTGGTTTGAAATAGCAATGCTCTTACTTTAGAGGTGTAAAATATAGTCTCAAGCATGGTCAATGTCATCCTTTAATGTTGTATCTTTTAAAATATGAGCTGGCATATTGTTGCCCTTGATTTTAAACATTATGCTCTTCTATTGATATAGTTGTTGGAAGCTGAGATATTGCGGCTTAATCATCTCCGTGATAGAGCAAGTGAAAACGGGCATAGAAAAGAATATCCTTTACCATTTACTACTTTACTCTGTGGTGCTCATCCCTCCCAATATGCTAAATTGTGGGTACTGAATAATGCATAGTTTGATTCTGCTACTATTCAACATTCATTGGCGAAATATATGCTTATAAATACACAGTAGTTTAGTGTAATAAGCCATTAGGGGTGCTTAGCTGAATTGATGCTAAAATCTTCAGTAGTTCTATGGAGGCATACATGTTGAAAAGTATTATAGTCTTGTTTATAAATTATTTGGTCTTTCTTTGTGTTGTGCATCTACATATTATTGCTGGAACTACATTTTTATTTTATTTACTGTGATGTTAAATTTATGTGTGCTTAATTTATAAATGAATATGCAGTCAGTTGATATGCTGATCTAATTTTTAACCAAAAATTGGACATGATAAATATATTTGTAAACTAGATAGAAATTTTAACAAAGATGGGTTAAGAAATAAATGGGTTGGTGCACATTAGATGGTGATTGGCTTCTCTGCACATGTGTGTGTGTGTGTCAGTCCATGTGCATGCACATGTGCCAAAGGCATGAATAAGGTTCCTTGACCAAACTGCACGCTTAAAGAATATGTGGAGAAGTTGCAGCTACTCAATTCTCCAGAGGAACGTGAACGCAGGTTGCAAGAAATTCCAGATGTACACTCTGACCCCAATTTGGATTCAATGTTTGAGTCTGATGAAGATGATGGAGAGTCAGATGAAAGGAAGCAAGGTAGCATTCATTTGCTCCACAGACCTTGTTTTCATGTTTCTTTGGCAGTTGTCCAAACAATGTTTGTCTCATGGTAATTATGATTCTGTATATGCAGATAGCAATATATTATCCAAATGTCTTGGGCTTGATAGAAGAGAGGGGGGTTCTATCTTTCCAAGAAATTCAAACAGTGTCTTCAATGACATGGGATGCAAAACACAAGACTTGGCCCCTACCCATGAACCGATAGGGAATATCTGCACACCAAAGAATCCTATCAATCGTGATGATACAGCTATTGATGATAACACCAATGCAGTTGTGAAATCAGAAGTTTCTAGTGTTGCGTTGGACATTTCATCATCGCTTCTTCCTACTGGGATGGAGCAGCCATTTAATAATTCTTTGAATGATAGATCATGGCATTATCAGGATCCAACTGGGAAGATTCAAGGACCTTTTTCTATGTTGCAGCTGTACAAGTGGAATACAACTGGAGGTTTCCCTCCAGATCTTAGAATATGGAGGATAGATGAGAAACAGGATAACTCTATATTGTTAACCGATGCACTAAGTGAGAAGTTTTCAAAACATGTGTCATTGGCATTAAACAGTCAATTGCTCTCTCTAGGGGTCAGTGTTACATTGGATAATAAAGATAACAGTCAGGATGCTGAGAAGAAAGGAACAAAGAATGAAACATCCACAGACGGGCAAATTATTGAACAGAGGAAGGAACAAAAGGTGGATAATACTTCTACTCAGTCTGATGGTAAAGATGAACCTGTTAGGAGCAATGGATGGCATGGCCAACTGCATGGATACCCATCACTACTATCAACTGCCATTCCTGAGAAATTGAATGAGAATTCTTCTGATAAATTAAGGAAAAGTCATGGGATTGTGGGGAACTCAAAAGATAATGGAAATAATGGCTCGAACAGGACGTCTGATGGGCAGAGTAATAGTGGGCAGAGTTATCAGAAGCAATCAGATAGTGAAGAGAATTCAGGGCAATCTTCTGGACATACCTGGAGACACCCTAATGTAAATAGTTCTTCCAATTGCTTGGTTACCACATCAGCTCATGTTTCTGGTACAAAAACACCACCCCATAAGCTGGGATTTGATTTGCATAATCCTCCTTCCCCTCCAGCATGTAATACATCTTCTGAACAGACCTGGAGACACCCTAATGTAGATAGTTCTTCTAATTGCTTGGTTACCACATCAACTCATGTTTCTGGTACAAAAACATCACCACATAAGCTGGGATTTGATTTGGACAATCCTCCTTCCCCTCCACCATGTAATACGTCTTCTGGACCGACCTGGAGACACTCTGATATAAATAGTTCTTCTAATTGCTTGGTTACCACATCAGCTCATGTTTCTGGTACAAAAACATCACCACATAAGCTGGGATTTGATTTGCATAATCCTCCTTCCCCTCCAGCATGTAATACATCTACATGGCAGGCAATCATTGGTGAGCCCAATGATTTTGATGAATCAGTTTCTGATCTGTTGGCAGAAGTGGAAGCAATGGAGTCCCTTGGTGGCTTGGAATCTCCTACTTCAATCATGAAATGTAATGAGGATTTGACTGAAGGTTCTAAAAATGATTGTCTCAGTTTTGTTGCAGAGCTTAGCCCAATGCTTGATGCGGGTAAAGGTGATGCACTGTGCTCCACTGGTGATTTAAACTTACCATCTCAGCCGACAGCAGCAGAGGAACCATTACGGCAAGCAGATGTACATGACCATCATCATCAAAGAATTTCTATGGAGCATTCTTCAAGAAGTTCTAAAATTGAGGTTGGTACGAAGAATGTTAGTGTTTCATGTAATCAATGGGATTCGAGCTCAGAAAATTCACCCATCGTTCCACCCCCTGCAACATTGGGCCTGGCAGTAGATACCACTTGGAGACTTGGTTTAGAGAATACACACTTGGGATGGAGTGGAATTGATCAAGGAAATGCAAATGTGGGTTGGGGAGTAGGACAGACAGCAGTGCAGGAAAACAGGAGCTCAAATTCATACACATCTGTAGTAACTCCAGGCTTTGGGGATAGCCAAACAAGATATGGCAACGATCGATTTTCTGCACCCAGAGATCGGGGTTTTCAAGGTCATGGTAGGGAATCAGGTTTTGGTAGAAGCAGAATGGCATATAACAGGCAACCGTCATATGGTGTTGGAAATGGAGGCTCATATAGGCCTCTGCCCAAAGGGCAGCGAGTTTGTAAATTTTATGAAGGTGGGTACTGTAAGAAGGGATCATCCTGTGATTACTGGCACCCATGATTTTAGATTCCATTAGCACTGGTCACAGTTGTTTTTTGTAATCCTTAACATATCTGAAGTTGGCTCTTTCCATTTGTTGTAATTTAACCAGACAGTATTAGTCAAGTGGTATAATTTTTTTATATGAAATTACTCTTGCTTGAACTACCTGTTTTTTGTGATTGCTAATTGCCAATTTGCTTGCGTAAGTTTTTCATTTTGTTCCGTATATATATAAGTTTTGATACCAAATTATTTCGAGTATACTCTTGAGCTCTCAAATTTTTGTTAACGTATTTTACTTGCGCAAGGCACTAATATAGTCAATTCTGAATGTAATTGCTTGCCAAGTTTGCTTCTGTGGGAATCAGGTGAGTTGGTGGCATTAGAAAACAGCAAAACAAAAAAGAAAATCAAACTGATCTGTATATATGGCATGAAATCTCCCCCCTCCCGATTCAGTGTTGTGTCTAAATTAGTTTTTTCAGCAATTGACGCAGGACTGGCTCCAATTTTGGGTACTCTGATCCCTATGATTGGAGCAAATGGATTTGCTGCAGTTGTTAGTGCTGCTTCGGGAATTGTAGCTGCTTGTGCATCATATGAAGGTATAAATACGTGATTGGATTTGCTTGAAATTAAATAGGAATTTGTGAAATTCCCATGTTAAAGATATTGTTTGAACCACTAAGATATTTTTATGGGTCTAGAGGTGTCATGTTTCAATTGGGTTTTGTATCGGTGCTCAGTGCTCAATATGGTGGTTTTTTTGCGGTACATTTTTGTTGCTACAATTTATTGATTAGCAATTTAGCATGCTTACAGTAATTGCTTGAATAAGACGAGTTAAATAATTACTGGTCAAGCTGCAAAAGGAACTCTTTAATTCACCTTTAAAGAAGAGTCTCGATGAGTAATTCATGCGTTTTAATACTTCATATATTCTCAATTTCTTTAAGATGATACAGTTAGTTATGTTCCTTTTCTAGGTGATGATTTTTATTTTTATTTATTTATTTATTTTATCAATTCTTTCTGATTTTACCAACTTCTGGACCTGGACTTGCTAGATGCAAAATGACTAGGAGATTTTGAATTTAAAGCTATAGGAAAGAGCCATAACCAATGCGTAAATTTTTATTGATTTCATATCCGTACTTTCAGGGCACATTTCTTACTTGATTGAACTATGATCTGTGTCTACACGAGCACATATCTTACTTGATTGAGCTATCAAACACTACTTTTGTGCTTAGTATAATGTTTCAAATTATATTCTTAATGAATTTATGCTTACGCAGGCTAGGGGTTGAATCTTGATCTCTGGATTTGCCCTATGAAGAGTATTATTTTATTAGGCAACAAGGTCAAAATGACGACCTAGAGAGGTACACATACTTGTCATATTCCTTCTAATATCGGAGGAGTTAAACTTTTTGGGTAAATCGTTATTTAGGGTATAAGCAGTTGATGCAGCTGTGAATATTTTCCTTGAATACAATATTTCATTGGCCAAGGAAGGTAATTTATGCATTAAATATGAAGTCGATTGAAAATTACTTTATCAAGTTGTCATCACCTCGTACTCGAGTTTCTCTTGAACTTAATAATTGCATGTTAATAATCTAATGATTGATGATCTGATTTAACAAATGGAATTTCATATGGCCTTGCCAAAAGTCAGGGAAACTGCAGTGGGTAGACTCCAACTATCGAGAGCACTACAATTCAGAATTGGAGTATTTGGTTTTGGCTAGCATACATGTTACAAGTTACAATTCAATTTCTCCCGCATTTTTCTTATCTCTTTCTAAATTTCAAATCATGTTGTATATTATATCTATCACTTTGTCTCTACATTTTCTTTCTTCTCTCTATGTCTAATCTTTCCACCCAATCCAGGCCAAATTGGGGTGGACCTTTTATAATTTTTCTTTGCATTTGGAATTGCCTCGTGGCGGACCAAGCAAGGGTAAGCAATGATATGACTGTTGTGAGTGCAATTTTAACTGCATCACTTGCAGCAACCGATTTCTTAGACAGCACGTGGGCAATTGCTATCGATATGTATTTTACTTTTATCCCTTGATTTATACAACTTTGGCATGGTGAGGAGAAAGGCATCTACCTCTACCTCTACCTCTAGTTTTTCGTTACATCACAAGTAGGCAATTCGAGGGATTTTAATTGTTTTTTACGGGCTGCTCACTATGATTTTTCTACTGAGTTTTGTTTAAAAATCAACCTCCTAGTGTCACTTTTAAACGGATCTGGATTCTCCCAACTTTCTAAAGAAATTTACGGTTTCGTTTACCCCTATCATGGCAAGTTTGATTTTGTTTTTTTGTTTTTATATTGGACCAATGTCCGAGGAAGAAAACAATATTGCTATTATCAGAATGAAAACGGAAATTTACATAGCAAAACACTATCCAAAATGTACCATAATGATCAAGTTATAAGCTGTAGGAAGAAATGACAGGTAGATGGATGAGATAATTTTAGTTGGATTATAAAAGATCGGATAAAAATAATCTATTAAATTTTTGAATCTTAAAAAAAATCTATCTATTCAAGAAAAAAAAATCATTCAATTTATCATTTTAACATTTTTTTTATGGATGAATATCTGATTTATAAATAAAAATAATATTTTTAAAAATTATTTTTATTTTTTAAATGTTCTCTTTCGTTCTGTTTAGTTTTTCTCTCACTCTCCAATGTCTAACTTTTGGTTAAAACCTTATCAATTTTCCCCTTCATTTGTAACCTTGAATGTTTACTAAATATATTTAAAGTATTTTTAAATCTTATAAATTCAATAAGTCTTTTCAAATTTTATAAATTTTATGATATAAATTTATTAAAATTTTATAAAATCTTGATTATAAAAGATTTTAAAAATTTATAAGACTTTCATATATAGTCTTAATGTTTTTAGTCATTTAAACTTGAAAAAAAAATAATTGTGTCAAAATATATACATGCTATTATAATTTAATGGGTTTAAAAAAAATAGATGATTACTAACTATTCATAAAATTAAAAAATTTAAAGGATGGTTGAGATTCGATCTATTATTATTATTATTATTATTATTATTATTATATTTTAATAATGAATGAGTTAAATAAACTTATAAGTGGATAGATGAAATATAAATGCACTGCCTTGCCATATTTAACTGCAATATCAGAATGTTGTTCGGCAATCTCTTAGCGGCCTTACACAATGACACTCAATGTCAATATACTCTCCCTACAAGACTAATCACTTGTGATTCTGTGAAACATTGCTTTTAAATCACAATCCTATAATTTCCTACAATAATCAATCAAATTATAATATGCATGCAAGACTTTCAACTACTCGTAAAAAGAATTTATATCCAATTTAACCACAATTTTCAATGAAATTACTCAATATAGTTAATAAAGTTTTTCCGTGTTGAATTCATGGCTACCAAAATTGGATTGGTCCGATTGATTCAACCGATTTGACAATGAACCAACTTGCCATTTCGTCCGATTAGTCAATTGCAAAACTGTCCCATGAAAGAATGAGACGAAAACCAGCAAAACTGGTCTTGAAAATTACTTTTTCAAAATGTTTTTTTTTCTCCAAAAAAATGACTAATATAGTTGAATATATTTATAGTATATCTGGGTGATATTTAGACTTGTGGATTTCATAAATCCTTCTTCACACTGTCAGTCCATTAAAGGATTAAATGCTTCAAATTCTATAATTGCATTCCGAAGGATGAGATTGATTGCACTACCTTAGTTAAAGGATGAGTGTCAAAGCACCCCCACCAAGCAAAATTAGTTAATATATATATATATATATAGATAGATAGAGAAAAAAAATCTTACTTGATAATTTATGTTCTAAATCAAATTTTAACGATCTAATTATTGAATAAAATTTTTTAATATATAGATTAAGTTTGTGAAGTTTTAAAAAATTTAAAAATTATTGATACTTTATTTCATTAATTCAAATCAATATTCGTCAATTTAAATTGATAAAAATGAGTATCAAATAATTTTTAAATTTATTAAAACTTTGTAAACTTGATTTATATATTAAAAAATTTTATTTTAACAATTGCATCGTTAAAATTTGATATAAAATATGAGTTATTAAGTAAAATAAGTTTAAATAAACTTACTCTTGAGATAAGTATATCCCTTCTTATATATATATGAGTGAACTTAAATGAAAATTATGAGGATCGGTAGTTATATTTGTAAATGTTACTTTTGTTAATGAATATTATTTTATTGTTTAATGTAATTGTTATGTCATTTAATTTGACTTTATGTGCAATTTTGAATGATGCCTTACAATTTACAAGTTTTGAAAATTTATAAGTAATGTTTAATATTTAGTGTTACAAAATTATATATACGGATGAGAAAGAAGTATTTGGTGTCTCTATATGTTTTATATAAAAAAAAGTGAGTGATTTATATATAATCAAGAGATGTGAATGGTTTGAGACCGTTAAAAGAGTAAAATTACATATAAAAATATCTTGAATTTAAATATTGAATATAATAGTGTTAAATATTCGAAAGAAAATTTTGTCTTTCAAAATAGTCTTACTCGACTAAAATAGAATTATCTATGATAATACTTATTGTATATAGAAAAAACTAAAATATAAAAATGAGTACACCGAAAGTAAGAGCATTTTTTGTGCTAGGCACTGCACAGTTAACATCGAATAGTTAACTTTTTGTTTGTTCATTTTCTCTTCTACATTGGTAAATTTATTTTCAGAATAATGGAGCTTTGACTTCAACTCTATGATTGGTGGTAATAATATTTCTTTGATATATTTTTATCTTTTGAGAGCTGAATGTTATAAAGGAATGGAAAGGACATAATGGGCAGAAAAACAAAAAGGGTTAATATATTTTTTCAGAGGAAAAATGTAATGACTGCAGAATGAGGACCAATCTAAATACAATGCCAATTTTTACCAAACTGGATTCGGACGCATAACAAATTGCACTTAATGTCTTAATTGAAAGTGGACATGATGAGGGTTGTTGGTATGGAACACGAACAACTTTTCTTTTGGGAGTCCATAAATACCACAGACATGTAGGGCAGTGTCTATTGTCAATTGTATAATTTCATTGCTTAAGTACGTATACGAAAGTGAATATGTGGATCCCCCTAAAACTACGTACCTGCCCATCAAAT